TTTTAAAATAAAAACCTATTAGTGTGGATTTACCCAGAGACCTGAAGCCTGAACTATAAAACAGGATGTGGGACTTAGCGAGGTAACTGCAGGTTTAACCCCTGATTTTCAGGAAGATGGTTCCCTTTTTACTGAGGTACATCTCTGTGGTCATTTGTGTTGCAGATGTAACCAGCTCTGTAGCAGGTTACGCTGGCAATAAGAGATCAACAGGCATGAAATCACCTCCTACTGACCAATTGATTCACCAGAAAATAACATTATGATTCCTGGAAGATCCCTCAAACCTCTGAGCAAGGATATCAGCAGGGTCTAAAGTTTTTCAGCAGTTTCTAAAGTCTCTGTCTTTCTCTGATGACGCAGATCGGGAAAGCCTAGGTTGACTTACGAAGCTCTTTGAGTAACTGCTTAGCCTGATTGCTAACGTTGGGGCAGGTGAAGCCAGATAAGGAAAAATGTCCTGACAATGTTGAATTTGTTTCATAGTGCGGGGTTCTCGTTCCACTGCCTTTATGGGTCAGCTGAAAAAACGTAAAGTCTTATCAGTGAGTTGGTAGAGGCTTAAAAAAATTAACCGTGTAATTTTTTTAAATTCCAAAACATGACACAATAGCAGCCTTACATATCTACTTTTACCAGGTGTGACAAGATCCATCACACATACTTTTGCTATATGTATAATAATCAGTATACTATACCTTCCACAGTGCACCACCACAGCTACTAGATCATACATGCGATCCAGGTTGACTGCATCCCCAGACGTGTTAAAAAGCCGGAGTTCTAATGGGAAAACCACCCGATAGGACAGCTTGGTGTAGCGGTGCAGCTGCTCCATGTACTTAAACCTCTTGAGGTGTAGCGCCAGGATCATAGGAAGTTTCTTCACACGCATCCTGCAGTGAAGAATACATGCTTAGGAAGGAGCCTTTCTGCAGGAACATAACACTGGTGATCAAACGGAGTGCTTTACTGACCGTTTCTGTGCTTCCTGCTTGCTGCAGCATGTCTCACAGTAGTATTTGTATTCACTGCACAAAGTCTCTGTGTTACTAAAGTCCCTGGAGGAACAAGCAGACCACAGGAGGCTCAATTACTGAGTCTCACTCACACCAAAGGGAATATGTCAGCTCCGTCTGAATGTATAATAAATCAATACTACCTGAGACAGTGTGTTATTGATGTGTTCTGCTCTACATCCACAGAAAGATCCAGAAAATCCTCATCTTTGCTGCTCACCTGACAGACAGCGAGAGACACCGATGTAACTCATCTGTTGTTACACTGACAGAGTCAGTGAGACTAAGCCTGCTGTTCTGTGACAGAACAGCCACCCACCCACACCTACACACACTCAGCCAGTCTTTGAAATGCTTATTTGACTGAATGGCTTTTGTCTCTGCACCCTGCATCGCCTTGGTGTTTTGCAGGGGTTGTTCTGGGCAACCTGTCCCACTCCTTGCCCTCAAAAAAGGTGAGGACAAAACCTCAGACGGCCCTGACGTAAACCGGGTGGTCAGAGCTCCTCAGAAGCTCTCACTGATTCTCTTTTTTTTTTCTTCCCCATGTCTCTCAGCACCTTTGCAAAGAGCTAATCCCCTTTTCAGACTTATTCAGGTGAGATCTTTTGTTTGTGCACCAGAAAATCCATTACCAGATAGCACAAACTACCTCTCTAATAAACTCACGGTGTAGAAAAACCAGGAGCATACATACTGTTTCACAGTTGAGGCAGCGCGTCTCATTGGTCAGTGTGCCTTGAAAGATATCGTGGACCCATGTGGGCTCCGTCTTGTTCTCAGTCTCAGCCTCGGTGGTGACGGCGGTGCCATTGTTCTTGAGGCGCCCGTTCTGCTTTTCCTGCTTTTTCTCCTCTTGCAGAATATCAGCCACGGTGTTCAGCAGGTAGTTGAGGAATTCGTGTGCATCTTGTTGCATGTAATTGTCAAACAAATCTGGAAGGAGACAGAGATAAATGCATACAACTTCAACTTCCTGTGGAAATAAATAGAAATACATAATATTTATACCACGCTGGGCCTAAAGGAGGCTGTTATTTAAACCTATGCATCAATTTAAACATCTGAAAGCTTAATAGATCAGTGCTACAGATAAAGGACTGAACCACAGCTATTGAATAAGCCCCCCAAAAAAGGACCAATAAGGTTGTAACTGTTACCATAAAGCAGGCGCTTGGGAGAAGCAGCTAGCCTAGATCTGTATATATTAGCAAAATTTGCCCTAATCCATCTCTAAAGCTAGCTTTTTAGCAAATTAAACCTTATTTTAAAGAATAAGTTTCTGAGTCCGTTGCTTCCAGGCTCCTAACTCCTCAAAATATACTTTTTTTCTATAGAATACCGTAAAAACTAAATGAAAAGTTTTCAACAATAACAAGTGCACCAGTATAGATAAAGAAGTGGTAGACCAGTATTGACTGGTTCTTTCTATGTTACATCAGGGGAAGTAACAGCCGTTGTAGTTGTGAAAACTACAGGTGTGATTAATAACAGTAATAACTGCTGGTTCATTGGCACAAGCAGAAAACAGCTGTCATTACAGTGATTTGTTACACCTGCATTACTCCCACTGCGATGCTGCACTTTGAAAATGTCTTGACATGTTGTAAGTAAAATCAGCAGGGTTTATTTATAATAAAAACACCCATACACATTCTTTGTTTTAACAGATCTGTATATAAGGGGGGAAAATGAGAAGGGAATGGTGGCGGCTGCCGAGGGGGAAGAAAAAAACGTCCAGAGATGAGCCAGCTGACCAAAGCTGGGTCTCAACAGAGATTGCATTGTTCATGCACATAAAGAGCTTCCTCAATATGGACAGCAGTGAACAGTCAGCCTTTCTGTCAGCTCTACTCTGAATGACCTTACCACCAACACGCACCTGCCTTTCACTTCAAATATTCAGACTGTAATGTAGCTCAAAAAGCACACAAAACTAAACCACAGCACTCAGCTCTCCATTTATGGACACGTGTGTGTGAAAGGATCCACATGACGGACACTTACGTCATTCTTCAACAAACTGTTTTAATGTTTTGAGCATATACATTTTGACAAGAAAAATTACTCTTCGGAGAAACTATTAATGCGAGACTCTTCTTCCAGTAATCCAGCACATAACACCAGAACACTAAAACTGGGACACCTCAATGGGATTAACCCCTTTTTATTTTTGTTTTTTTAAACAGCACCAGTGGCAGGCCCATTTTACGAGCGCTCTTTAAATGACCGTAACTCAGTTACCATTTGTGCTAGAGACACAATTCAAACGGTTTCGGCAAGAAGAAAAGGTGACCTTTAAGGGGATATTTGGTGTTTCATGGCAGCACAAAGCATTCACAAGGCACTGCTGTCTTAACACAGGAAGAAAAATCAGCTATGCACAGAGATTTCCATGTGCCTTTCATATTACTGTAACTCCTCAACCATTTCGAGCTAAAGAGAAAATTCGAACAGTTCCTGAAAGAACTGAGATGAGATCCAAGTGCCCTTAACCCTTTAAGACCTACCATAGAACCAAGTCCACCAGAGCTTATATTATATTTTTACATG